TCAGATGTTCTTGTGTTTTCTACTTCCCTGATTTTGAGCAATATGGTGAAATCACTGGGAATCTTAACTGTGTCATGCAGAAATGTGACAGATCCTCACCTACTTTTGAAGAAAACAGGAGAGGTTATGTGGCAGTGCCTGTGAACCTGGGGACAACCCAGGGACGCCTCTTGGGATTTGTAGCAGTCACACTGGTGTCCTGGGCCCACTGAGGGACCGTTGTGCTTCATACCACAACTGCCTTTGCTGTCCAAAGAGCTTGATGTTGTGTGCAAACAGCACCTGAACGTCACAGCATCTCTCTCACCTGGGGATTGTCCTCTCTGACATGCTGCTAGGACTTTACAGTAGGCTGTGTGCACATTGACATTTGGAGGGCCGAACGTCCTGGTGGGCGCAGGAACATACACATGGGAGGCCAAGTACCCCCTGGGAATACCTTCAGCAGTAACCAAGGAGCCTGCTCTCCTTATGCTTCTTGACATCACCTGAAATCTTCAGAGGCTCTTCATATTTGGGTGCTAGAACAAACACAACTATAAAAATTGCCAATGAAGTGGAGGGAGTGAAAACTGCAGAATGTGAACTCTTGTAGCTGTGGAAAACTAAAGGGGGAGGAGAAAGGGCAAGAAAGAGAAACTAATGGGCAGTGAAATTAGGAAAAATTAAACACCGCTTTAAATAAAACAGAAGATAAAAGAGTCCTAAAAGCACAGTCATCTGCTGAGGTCTGGAACTGGAGAAATCTCATGTGTTTCTTTTCTGGCAGAAAAGCTAGAAGATGGTACCAGTTACAGCAGCAGCGTAATGCTCTCTGTTATAGCAGTAGCTTGGGAAATTACCAAATAGCAGCTACTAGAGCAGTACTTTTTAAAGTTTGCTGTTCTGACTAACTTGCTTTCAGGGATTCGAAAAGGGCTGGCTGAGCAGCGCTCTCTGGGTCATAAATGCTAATTTAAAAATATTTTTTTTTTAAAAAAAAGCATACATAATGACTTAGACTGAAAAAATGTTGTGTGTTACTCATAAGGAAGTAAGCCAATTTCAAGTTTAATTGGGCAAGCTAGAACACTAACTGCAGTCTGATGTTTGCTTCCAGTAAAATAATGTAATAGCTGATATGTATTGTTTTGTTCATGATTTGAGGGGGTGTTAATTGTAATATTGAGTCTGTACTGATTTTTAAAAAATCATTCTTTTCGAACAGTGTGATTTTCTGGTGTTGCTGTAATTTTACTTGATAAAGGTAAAACTGTTGGTATGTCTTGCATGTTTATTGCAGTGAAGTTGTGCCACAGGTCATGGGAATAAACAGGTAGGATGATTCAGTGTGTCACACACACACTGTTGGAGTGAGTCCAGAGGAGGACTGTGAAGATCAGAGGGCTGGAGAACCTCCTGTGAAGACAGGCTGAGAGAGTTGGGGTTGTTCAGCCTGGAGAAGAGAAGACTCTGGGGAAACACTATTGTTGCCTTTCAGTACTTGAAGGAGACTTGTAAGAAGGCTGGGGACAAACTTTTTAGAGGGGCCTGTAGGAACAGGACGAGGGGGAATGGCTTTAAACTGGAAGAGGATAGATTTAGATTAGATATTAGGGAGAAATTCTTTACTGTGAGGATGGTGAGACACTGGAACAGGTTGCTCAGAGAAGCTGTGGCTGGCCCATCACTGGAAATATTCAAGGCCAGGTTGGATGGGGTTTTGAGCAGCCTCGTCTAGTGAAAGGTGTTCCTGCCTATGGCAGTGGGATTGGAACTAGATGATCTTTAAGTCCTTTTCAGCCCAAGTCATTCTGTGATTCAATGCATAAAGGAAAACCTGACTAAATAAAAGGTCACTTTTTTTGTGACAACAGAAGGAGAGCCATTGCTGATAATTGTAGTAGTGTCAGCTGGGAATAGTTTTTTTGGCTTGATGCTAATCAAGTGGCACGAGTGGGTCTCTTCTCTCATTTAACAAGTGATAGGATGTGAGGAAATGCCTTCAGGTTGCACCAGAGCTGTTTTAGATTGGATATTAGGAAAAATTTCCTCACTGAAAGAGTTATCAAACATTGGAAGAAATTGCCCAGAGAAGTGGCTAAGTCTCCTTTTTGCTGGAAGACACGTAGCTGTGGCACTTAAGGATGCGGTTTATTGGTGGACTTGGCAATACTAAGTTTATGGTTGGATTTGATGATTTTAAAGGTTGTTTCCAGCCTAAATGATTCTGTGATTTAGTGATGGACTTGGCAGTGCTAGATTTACATTGGCCTTGATGATCGTGGAGGTCATTTGCAGCCAAGATGATCCTTTGATTTTAAGTTTGTTGGTGTCCTGGAAGAAAACCCATCAAATTGGGTTATGTTTGTGGACAACATAAAGTCTGGGCAAGTTGCAAGTAATGAAAAGAGGTGAGTCAGTGGTGGAGTTGGGATTGAATGTGTGCTGAGTGAGACAACAAGGAGGTGTGTGAAAGCCTTAAAGCAGTCATCTAGTCTCAGAGCAGGTGGGAGGGCTGACAGGATGCATGGTAGCCTGGGAGCTGTCGAAGGAGTGAGAGCTCTTACAGCAGCACGGCAGCTCACCAAAAACAGAACCCGAGCTGGGCACAGTTGGCAGAAAGTAAGTGCATTACTTGGACACAAGCATGGATATCCAGAGCAGGGCCAGGGAGGGTGTTATCTTGGTGCAAGGTGCTGCTCCTGCCAGCACAGGAGTGCTGTGGCCAGTGCTGCACAGGAATGTTGCTGATAAGTTAGAGGGAGTTCAGGGGGCACCATGAGAAGGGAGGGCTGCAAAATGTGCCATACAGTAAAATATGGAGCTTTGTGTGTAAAATAAACACTGTGTTTCTTCCCTTTTTTTTCCCCCTTGTTTGGAGGTATGCTGTAATTTAGCCTGAAGTTCACTGAAGGAAGCACAGTGACCTGCCTTGGCAGAAGGTCAGACTGTGTCGTCACAGGGTTTCTCTTGCTCTGTAAGTCTCCATGAGGCAAGAGTGGGAAAGGAAAAGCCACTTTATCTTCAGAGACAGATGTCTGTAACTTTTCCTACTGAAGCCTTGGGGGATATGGGTGTTTTAACTCCAGGTGTCCTGTCTTCCAGGCGTCCAAAATGGAAGTAGTTGGTTGTTCTGACTGAGAGCATCTGCCCTGCAGCCAGCATCCACCTTTCCTGTGCCAGTATAGGCCCCACAGCTAACTAGCTCTGGGGCACCTGTCTCTTCTTGTCTTTTAACATTTTCCCCCTCCCCAAGCTTTTTCCCTCTTCAGCTACTTTACTGCAGACTTTCCAGAAAAGACTTCTCCTTCTCCTTTGGGAAGGGCAAGTAGGCCCTACCTGCACCACCAGCTGGTGCGTAGGTACAGGACTGGAGAGCTTCCCTCTTGCTCCAGAGAGCACAGACAAGGGACTCAGCTTGCCAAAATAATGAGCCCCTCTTTGCCCTTAGTATCGCTTTCCTTCTGAACGGTGGTGGTAATTCTGAAAGAAAATGTGTTTTGTTTTTGGCATCCTGTACAGGCTTAAAAGTGCATGTGTTTGCCTGTGTCTAGTTGTACTTACGCTGAGGCTTTGCTTTCAGACCACTATATGAATATTAAGTAATGCTCCTTGATACAACCCTGATAAATGTCTTTCAGGGTGCACACTGACGTGTGAGAAGTGGGACTGGAAGAACTATTCATTTGTTCCCTGCCACAAAGAGGAGCCAGAAAGGTTGGGGATAGTCTTCTTACTGTAAACAGCAGAAATGAAGATCAGACTTCCATGGTGTTCAGCCCCATACAAGCATGTGTGGAATAAAAAAATTCCTGTCTTCAGGGTTTTATGAGCTTAGAACTTGAATTTAGGAATGCCCTGAGCTGAGTCATGATGGGGATGGGCTCTCCCACCAGCTTCCCCAACAGAATGGGTCTGATCAGCTGCTTAGGCCCTTCCAGCAGCACTGCAGGTGTGCAGCATAACAAAGCATGTCATCCAGCAGTGGACATGGAAAGGGCGACCCAGGGGGCTTGAGGGGGAGTAGTGTGAAATCTGTCTGATCTGGTATGGTACTTGAGAGCAGCCAGTTCATGTGCTTTGGAGGAAAACTTAAGATGAATGCAATGAAGTGACCAGCACTCAGCTTTATTGCTCTTCTCAAGCTGGGGTGCTCTTAAGCTTAGTGGCCCTTCCAAAAATCTAAATTAAACCCATTCCGAATTATCATCACTTGACACATCTGTATTTTCTCTTCAGCACCACCCCATGATGGGATGAGGAGGGAAGTGTTATCATTTTGGAGCTTGCTGTCCTTAGACATCATTAAGTGACTGTTGATTCTGTGATTCTGTGAAGTGGCTCCTGGCTCTTGTGTTGAGCAAAGGGAGAGGCATTTTCACTACAGCAGACTCATGTGCCAGAGGGGTGGCTCAGTTCTGGACCTTGCAAAGGACAGGAAGATTGAGACCATAATTTGTGCAATCTTGGTGGAATCCTGAAGGGCACTGTAGGCACTTACCTGTTTGTTAGGGGTGTCTAGAGCACATGGAAAGCTCCATCCACAGGGGTGTAGTACACTGCACTCTGTTCCCAGATGGAAACTGGCATATGTTATGTCCGTAGACAGATCCTGGTTCAGTGCCACAATCTGTATTCCTCTTTATTGTCATTCTGTCCCCAAAGACATGCTCTGAGGTAGTAGTGCTCCATGTTCCCATAACATATCACACCCATCAGTCTTAAATTCCATATGCAACATTTTTAATGGGCACTGTGAAGCATACTTCAGATTCTCCATGCCTCAGGTTGCTCTGTGCTGTTTCATGCTCTTCATCTGACCTAGAGCTGAACTGCTTTTCCCTTCCCAGCCCTGGAAGGCTTTTCCACCTACATGCATGTGTAGGCGCTCCAGTGTGTGATGGCAGCTCTTGGTGCCAGGAGGGAGCCTGCTCTGCTGGCTGTATCCTGGCCTGGGAGAGGAAGCTTGTGATTTCCTGATGCTCATACTTCTCTTCCCTTCCTTCATTCTCTTTCAGAACATGAGTGAGAACTTGAAGGACTGTTTGATCCAGACCCAAGCTTCCTTAGGTGAGATGGTGACGATAAAAACAGAGGCCTGCTCTCCTTGCCGGGACCAGGAGTATGGACAGCCTTGGTACGTGGCTGAGCTTCAGACTGATGTACTCTTTCTCTCCACCTACCCCCCAGCTGGTTTTGGGGAATATACTTGAACTTCTTGAAGTTAGTAAAGCCCTCCCTTGTGAGGTCAGCCTTGAAGTGTTTGACAAGGGTGGTCACCTACTAGTGCACCTACTCTAGATGAAGCCACTACCTGCTGTAGGCTTTAACTTTAAGCCATCTTAGATACTAGCTTTTGGCAGGTTGGATGGCAAGTTGAATTATTTCTCTGCTGCAGTTTTAGGACTAAAGAAGTTTGTCAGGCCCCATTGCCTCAGCTTCTCTCTGTGTGCAGTCCCAATGTCTTGGTTAGGTTAACATCATCTTTCTGTTGTTTCCTCCTCAGCTCTGGAAGGCCTGACCCACAGTCCATAGAGATGGAGCCCAAGAAACTGAAAGGGAAACGGGATTTAATCATGACCAAGAGCTTTCAGCAAGTGGATTTCTGGTGTAAGTATATTGTGAGTGAGGGAAAAGCACCACTGCTGCTTGTATAGACTTTGGTCTGTCCCTGCTGGTACCCTACTGGTTTGGGGCAAGAAGCAGGGGAAAAAGAAGCCAGGAACAAATTTACATGCTTTCCTGCAAAGACCAGCACATTTAAAAGAGAAGCTGTTGCACAAAATCAGCTTGTCCATGAAGGGGTTATGCAGAGGTAGGGAACTAGGTGGAAAGTAAGCTGGAAACATGAAAACACACATTGGAAAATCCTGAGAGTCTGCAAAAACTGAAGACTTGAATTCACAGACTGCACAGGGAGCACTGTGCAAACAACAGCTCTTTCCCCTATAGTCTGGAAAAGAAAACTCCTACCACTTATGCATACCTACAAAAAAGCAGACCTGCATCCCTGTCTGGACACAGGGAAAGTGCCTGGGGATGCTGTCTCTCTCCCAAGCACAGAATGAAGGCTGTAGTATGAGGGATGTTTGTTTTAGCTCCCTCTTTGGCGTGTGGGGAATCAAATCTTGGTTGGAGGACTTAGCTGCTAACCAGGAATATGCAGGAACCTCCAGCGTCTGTCTCTGCAGGCAGTGACGGGGCCTTTCCCTGTGCATGCAGCCATCAGTGGCAAATGTGTGTAGAGCATCAGGGTTTATGCAAATGCATGTGTTGGTTAGACAGGTGGGTTGGGGCAGAGCCCTTGCTGAGAGATATGGAGAAACAAGGGAGCAGCCAGTGAAGTGACTGCATGTGTGGAGGCTGGATACTGGGGAGGGGGCTCAGCTTGGCAGGGGGAAGGACAGGGAGCTGGCCTGAGCACTGTGCATCCTGTGCATTGCATGAACTGCACAGACATCACGTGTGCCCAACCTAACCCTGGTTCCCTTTGCATCTGCAGTCTGTGAGTCCTGCCAGGAGTACTTCGTGGATGAGTGTCCGAACCATGGCCCCCCAGTGTTTGTGTCTGACACACCAGTGCCTGTTGGCATTCCTGACCGGGCAGCGCTGACCATCCCTCCTGGAATGGAGGTGGTTAAAGAGCCCAGTGGGGAGAACGATGTGCGCTGTATGAATGAGGTGATCCCCAAAGGTCACATCTTCGGGCCGTACGAAGGGCAGATCTCTAGCCAGGACAGGTCTGCAGGATTCTTCTCGTGGCTGGTGAGTGACAAGTCTCCCCAGCTAAGTGACACCTCAGCCATACAGCTCAGAGCTGGGGGAGTTATGGGCTTGTGGTGCCAAACCTTAACCGTCTTCCCCCTTCTCTGAAGGTCTTCTGCTGACCCACATGTGCACGACGCAACCATCGACCTACCAGAAATATTAGCAACTTAAGGGTATAGATATGTGAAAGGAGACCAGGTACATGACACCTGAGTTCAGTTCACAGTTGTAGGAAGAAGAACTTGCTTCTGCTCTCTCTCTTGCCAAGAACCGTGTTCTTTCATCCCCACTCAGTCTAGGTGTTCTCTAGTACCTTTCTCTGCTCTGGTCATCATTTTGATGATAGAGGAAGGATTCTATCTAGAGATTGCAGAGCTCTCTAATGGGCCTAGAGCACTCTCTCCCAGATTGCCTGAGCAGAGGAGATGGCCAAGAGGGCAGAAAAGAGATCCAGTCCATCAGGAACTGATCTACGTGCAGACTCCAGCACCAAACCCTGTATTTTTTCCCCTCATACAGGCCTTGGGTAGCATATGAGATAGACCTGTCACTGGATCAACAGATGTTAATTATTATGAGAAATGCAATGTGGGATTTGAGTTATAGGTGGGGAAAAAACTGAGAGCTGTTGATATTAAATGCTCCTCATACTTCTCCATTTGTAAAATAAATGTGTTTCAGCCCTGTCCTGAAAGGGAAGTTAATATTTTATTTCTCAGGATTGTTAGCAATTTTGTCAGCTGCATCCATGGTTTTGTTACAGATATCTGTACATAGAAAAATGCCTCTTAGTTCAGAGTAGCCTCCACACACACATTCAGGTCAGCAGCCTGTTATTACCAGGAAAGCTGAGATTGATGACAGTTTCACATCTTGACTTAGGGCTGGAACTGAAGCAGCGATCTGAGATTCATATACGTTCTTCTGCCTGGATCTGTTGGTTGACGTGCTGCATCTGTTCTCTTGTTCCATAGATTGTTGATAAGAACAACCGCTACAAATCCATTGATGGGACAGATGAAACCAAAGCAAACTGGATGAGGTGAGTCCAGTTCTCTTCTGCCTTTCCTTTTGGGGCTCTGTCTTCAAGAGAGAGGCCATCAAACACTACTTGTTGTTTGTCAGAAAAACAAACCAAAATATCACCACCCGTTTTGTAAATGGTGTGCTTGTGCTCTTTCGGTATTTATTTTAATGAGTATCCTTTGGTGTCAGATTCCTTTAGAAAGGATCTAAAACAGGCCATAGATGTGTGTATGGAGGGATGACTGTTTTCTGGAATAAGGATAAATGATAAAGATGATCCTATTTATCTACTCTTAAAAATGCTGACAGGTCTCACTCCATTTTTTTATTTATTTTTTTTTTATGTTATGTTCAAATATTTGCAAAATGCTTTCCATTATCCCCAGGGTAACATTTGATTTGGTTTGGGTTTTTTTGTTCCTTCCTATTTGAAAGAGACTGAAAGAGGTGCTTTTTTTGTTTTCTTTCTGGGCTTCACTTGAAACAGCTGTCTGTGGTGGCTGTCATTTGGCAGTGTCAGCTGTCCTGTGCGAGGAGAAAGGCAAAATGAGTGAGCTGCAGCAGCACCGAAGGCAGACCTGATGCATGGGCTTGCGCTCCCTCTGCTGGCCCCGCACCTTGGCAGAGCAGGGTCTCAGTACTGAGCCAGGAGTGGGGCTGGCTCTGGTTTGGGAACTGCAGCAGGAAGGGAAAGTGTGTAACCATGACGCAGTGTTTCAAGTATTGGCATATATCTGTAAAATGTAGGTCACTGAGGCCTCATATGTGTGGTACGTCACCAGAACAGGACATTGCTCTATACCGAGGCCTGTCCCACATTCAGACCAATCCTGTTTTCAGGGGTGAATTTTGGAAGCAGTTATTGTCAAGAAGGCATTTCCTAGAGAGTAAAGCAGTATGGAATTACCTGGTTTGTCGGCCTGGATGTCTAGGATTTTCAGCTGTCACTCACTGAGGGAACAAAGAGTGTAAAGTACAGGTAGATGCAAGATTGACCTAATTGGTCATATGTGGTTGCACTACTTTTGCTCCATTTGAGTCTTTACATGGATAGCAGCTGTTCTGTCATTTGTGTTCTATAAGTTCAGCAAAGGATTTAATTTTTCTGCATGACAGTGAAGCTGGGGCAAAACAGTCTTGGAAAGCAAAACTTCTATGATGATCTCTTTTTTCTACTGCCATGAACATAAGCTTGATGTCTGGATTTAAATGGGCACTACTTGTGGTCCTAGCACTGAAAAGCAGAATGTTCTTGCCTGAACTTGTATTTGCCATGATTCAGTCTCAAGATGAGTGTGGTCTGTGCTGTTCTGTACAACCTTGAAAGGCAAGGAGGTTATGGCTTTGCAGAAGGGGTATGTTTGCAACTCTTCTGGAAACAGGTGTACCGAAGGACCTGTGCAGGTTATACCAGTGTTACTGATCTTTCTGATTTTACTCTTGAAAATTGCTTCTAACAGTAGTATTATGTAGAGTGTCACTGACAGTTCACGTGGCAATAGAGGTCCTCAAAAAGCCTCGATTTGGTTTGTTAGCACTTTTCAAACTGAGGTGTGCTTGGTATCCTATGCCAGAACATCACCTGACACTGAGATTGCTCACAGAAACCATACTTTCAGGACGCTGTAGACAGCGCTCTTTTTGTTTTTCAGATGGTGCTCTTTGCTATCACTCACAGATGGGGTGCTTTGCAAAGTAGATCTACTCACCCTTTGAGTAGGTGGGTATGGCGTGGGGAGGGCAGCTTGTGCTGACTCCTCTCTCTTCTTGTAGATCTCTGCCTATTATTTTTGTTGTTTGAATACCACATCTGAGCCCATTTTCATTTTCCCACTGAGGACAATATGTACACTGCAGCACTTGCTGGTTTAATTTCAAGTGACTGTTTACCCAGGGCAGTGGATGACAGGGAGGAAGGAGTTTGAAGCACAGCAGGTGGCATGACAATGGTAGAATCCTTGTGCCCTTTCTCTCGTCATTCAGTTAGCCAGTGTGAACTCCTGATGCTGGGAGCATGTTCTCCTAAGCTGGGTGCTGGCAGAAAAATAATGCGCCCTTCATCTCTGTCCGGAGTAAAATGCTGTTGTTTGCAGTACTTTATAAAACTGCATGGCTTTGATTTGTGCAAACATCCTCCTCTGTTTTTATTTTTCTGGGCACTGATTATCATGGATTGCAGCAAACCCCAAATAAAATTAATGCTTTCTTGGACACAACCTGTAAATTGCTTCTGATGGGAGTTCTTGGAGCTTCTGAAGGGTTGCAGAGAACCATCCATTTTCCTGATTGCTTCTGAGGAAATTCTGTTATTTAGTTGTTAGTGTTCTCTAGAAATAATGGATATGAACAAAAAATGAAAGTAATTCAGAAAGTCCAGGAAACATCGCTCTGTCTGTGTGTCACTTGGCCCAGACTGAGATGCAGGGTAGGAAGTACCAGCAAACTGATGGTGCCCAACTGAACTATTGGAGTGCAGTGCCTCATATTTGGGGTTTCCAGGCTAGTTTAGGCATTTATAGTCTGTATCCCTTCTTACATGTGAGTACCTGAGTTCTTAGGCTTTTGGCACAGTTCAGATTTATCCTTTCTCATATGAAAAGTCTGGTGCAAGTCTTCCTCACTTCTTTTTCCTTTGTCTTCCTTTCTGCCATCCTTCCTCTCCAAGCATAGTAACAAAGAGGTCATGGGGAGCCAGACTGTTCTATAAATCTTCCTGTATCCTTATAGTGGAGATGTCTGTGATTTGATCTTCATACAATAATAAAGCCTGGAAGGGAGCTCTGGTCGAGTGCTCCAGCAGCCTGCTTAAAGCAGGACCAACTTAGATCAGTAGATCCTTTAAGTACTAAGCTGCTGTTTCAACTTTACAGGACCTTTTAAAAATAAACATAAAAAAAAGTCAGGGTTACTGTGACTGCCCATGTGTTCAGGGTGAGTAAAAGTCACCAGTTTATGAATGTCATTTTGTTGAACTTCATAAACTGATTTCCGTTACCTTGCAGCAAGTGGAGCAAATGTTCTTATCCACTGCAAATTTATGCAGAGCAAAAGGATCCTAAAGTACTGTGATCCCTGTAAAAAAACCCAAAAAAGCCCTGGGAAAAGTTACATACTTGTTTCTTAGAGGCCAAGAACAGTGGAGTTGGTTGATATTTTTGTGGGATGATCATTAAGTGCCCACTCTTCAGCTAGTTTACAATGTCATTTGTTTTTAAAGAAATAGCTGTACTGTTTTGCACCACAGATTGACCTGGGCTGAGGTGTGAATTCACAGCCTCACAGCTGGGATTCCTCTGGAGCTTGCTAAAACACCACATGGCAACCCAGAGAGGTGCTTGCAAATATTGGTGACTGTCTCTAGGGACATACTGCATGCTAGAGGAAATGAATGAGGGGAAACAGATCTCTCTGCTAGTAATACTGTCTGCATTTTTATAAGGAGGAGGTAAATGTGCCTGCTAGGAACCTAACATTAATTGAATTTGTGATTAAAACTGGCCAGAGTTCATTACTCTCTCTGTGGCAAGTTTGCTATTGGAATCCGTGAGTTATCTTAGATGCTGGAGCAAATGAATGGAAACTCTGGAATCTGAATATCTGGGCCTACCACAGGCTGTCCTAAATGCACGTGATGGGATACCCTATCTGGGAAGAGCAAAGAAGCTCTGATTCCCAATCAGTTCAGTTTTGCTAATGATGGTAGCTGTGAATTCAGCAAGAAGAGGGTGTGGCAGGTTTCCTGACTCTGCAGCTCTGGGGAGACTTCTGTTCTGCAAGCTCACTGCTACCCGGGAGCACTTTGCAAAATATTGTTACTTTTCACCAGAGCAGCTTGTTTCCACCACGTGGAGGTTTGTTTCTGCCGCATGGAGGTACTGTGCAGTCATGAGTACCTGCTGAGAATATACACGAAGCCCAGTTTGGCTGAATGTGATAAAAATCACAGTGTGAATATTCCCTTGCTCAATGTTCCGAGTAGCCTTTTCCCTCTTTCCAGTGTTCAGCTGGGAGAACTCCTTTTTCCTTTTAATTTGGTGAGGGTTTTTTGTTGGTTTTTTTTGAGATCAGTGTACCAAGTGCTTTGCTGGCTTTTCATCTTTCATTACCATCTTCTCTAAATGCTCCTTCTTCCTCTCTATAAATGAAGCTCCACCAAAACAGTATCTCAAGCATGCATTTATGTCTGTTCCAAAGAAATACATCTGTGCATTTAGGTCCCAGCTTTCCCTGTATATGGCCTCGATTTGAGCAGTTTTTCCTACTGATTTTCCGGCTTTAACCAAGCTTCTGACACTTGCCCCAATGGAGGGCAGCAGCATTAGTGAGACTGATTAAACAACAGTGTTAACAGCACTGAGGAGAAAATAGAACAACAACCAACAAGGGTCATTGCCTTTCTGTAGGTTTTTCTTACTCTGCAGCCCACAAGCACCTTTCAGAGGAGTGCATCCTAAACGACTTATCTTGCGCTGGCCACGGCAGTGCTTAGAGGCATCTATCTCTGAGGAGGCACCAGCAGGGCCATCACAAATGTGGAGCCTTCACTTATACCAGTTTTTCAGAAAGTACTACAGGTGGGTTTTCTGCCTGCACGGAGGGCAGTTGGCCAAGATCGTACAATTAAATGTATTTCTTCGAAAGAGGAGGGTCTGAGCTAGCCCAGCCAGAATTTATTCCCCCAACATTGCAATAATACTAACAATAGATCCCAAATTAAATGAAATCAAACGTTCTGTCTACTAGTAGTAGCATCTTTGGTTTCATTTAATTTGGGGCCATAAACAGAAAGAAACTGAACACATTGAGAAACCAATAGGTTTTCCCGCCCATGGTGTCACTTCAGAGATACAGTTGATAGGTGTCATAACCATTAAGATATCTTACTTCTTGTATGTGGCCTCTGATCTCCTCTGTGCTGTGCTGCATACGTATACACAGATGTCCATTGCCCAGGCTGCAGATTATTCCTCTGTCTGCAATTCCACCTTGTTTATGTGCAAAACTGCATGTTCAGACAGTCTGTTTTTTCCTTCCCTATTAAACAGATCTGCTGCCTTCTTTTCTTTCCCCAATAAAAAAACAGTTAGGACTAATGTTTTGTTTATTTTTAAAGTTTCCTTTGACTGTGGCTGGAAAAATTAACACACACTCCCTTTGGACAAAACTGCTTTTTCTCAGGATGGCTGCCTCTTCTTCTCAATGGGCTGAGGGTATGAGTTGTTTGTTTGAAGCACCAGAAACTGGGTGCAGGCTCCTGTCAGTGGCAGTGATGGAAAGCCTAGCCAGGAAAAACAAGTGGGTGGCCTCATTCCTTTTGAGAACAATGGGAAACAGCATCCATTTCTGGGTGAAGCAAGAGCTTGCTGTGAAGCAGACAAATCCTGGATGTGCAGTACCATGATGCTGAAAAAAAGACTTTTTCTCAGGGAAAGTGAGTTGCAGAAATTGCCTGAGTCTAGTCAAAATTGCCCTACTCTAAAAAAAATCTGATTTGATACAGCATCTGCATAACATCCTGCAAGTTGTAACAGAAAGGGTGGTGTAAACAACATTCCACTGCATGTTGTGCCAGGCAGAATAATACAATGTATTTCAGGCCTCTAAATTTCCCTCAAAATTTTGAGCAATATCACCTTAGAAGCTAATTCACTTTGCGAGTGATTGTGAGTTTACACACTTTTTTCTGTGTACGAACTGTGGCAACTGATACGAGACTGAACTGAAATTCTCATATGTAAGTCAGGACATCAGAAGAAGTGTAAAATTTCATTTTACCTGTAAAGCTGAGAAGGCTCCTTCACACTAGTGTTGCTTGGTGTTTTTTTTCTTAAGCTTGAAAATTTCCTCTTAAAAACAAAACGTCTGCCTTTTCCTGGTGCGATTGAGGAAAACTGAGAGGTTGTTGCGGGTGGGGGGAGCTGGATCCCACCAAACTCCTCTGCCCCAGTGCTGCACTGGCCAAGTGGTTGGATGCAGGGGGCTGCTTTGCGCTGATTTCCTTTTACCCAATTATGCTTTGTGGGATGTTCAACCCAAGGAACATGGCTGAACGAAAGAGGAAGCCCAAGTTTTCCAAGGAAGAACTGGACATTCTGGTCACTGAGGTGACCCGAAATGAAGCCATGCTGTTTGGGAGGGAGACAATGCGTCTATCCCATGCCGACAGGGACAAGATCTGGGAAGGCATAGCCAGGCAGATCACATCAGTCAGCCAGGTCCCCAGGTCTGTAAAAGACATTAAACACAGATGGGACGACATGAAGAGAAGGACCAAGGACAAACTGGCATTTATGCAGAGGTCCCTCTCCAGCGCTGGCAGCATGGGGCGGCCCTCGGCCATCGTCCTGACCGCCCACGAGAGAGCCATCGAGTCGACACTGCATTCATCCCACCAGATGCACGGCTTCCAGAGAGCGGATCTGGATGTGGTTGACAGCCTGTCAACAAGCTGTAAGTATCATTGCCTTAACACCTCTTTGTCTTATGCTTGGATACCTCAGTTTGACACCATAAGAGCATTGTGTGTTGTGTGAGATGCTGGGTTGCCTGTCAAGACAGGTCTTACTGCTGTGGTTGGTTTCAAGACAGCCTGCTCTGGTGGTTGTGGGGTGTTGAGGTGGATTATTTCCAAGTTAAGATCATCTTCTTTATCTGTTTATCTAGTTCTTTTCTATACTGTCTTCTAAGGGTAGATGATGGATTATAAATCTGACCTAATCCTACAAGCGAGGGAGCATCTGTAGTTGAAGCGCAACTACCTCCAGTCTGTGGGGAAGATGCTTGTAATGGATTAGTGGATCTTCACTGTGATAAAACAGCAGTGTTATCAAGTTGAGGGTCATCTGCCAGTCACTAATGGATCACTTCCAAAAGGACTGTTGGAGGTCTCAGTGATCACTGGTGTTCGTTGCTCTGAGGCTGGGCCACTTATGATTTCTCAGTAGTGGTCTGAAGGATCAGCATAAATGCTGTGAAAAAGATAGATGATAACGACTGTTTCTTCACTGGTTTTAAAGGAACTGCTGGCCCTGCTTTTGAAGTTATCTTCTTCCACAATTCTCAGATGCCTTCCAGCACTAAACCACAAGCTGCTTTTGCAAGTTCTTTCCATAGCTGTGTCCACACAGGTTTTCGTCATGGAGGTGCAGCTTCTTGGTCTGTGAGCTTTTAGGGATACAAAGGAGAGAAAGGGGATAACTTCTTGGGAAGTGAGTCAACTAACACCTCATGAGCGGCACTGTCCTACCACATTAGATCTGATCTCATATTTGTAGTAGTGTTGTTAGTGGGAAAGCAAGGACAAAAATCTTCAAGAACTTAAAAAGTGGGAATTGGTCATTCTTTGCATCTGTCTTGAAAGCCAGTGGCACTATTTTAGAGGTAAAAGGAAAACAGCTTGTGCAAGGAGATAGTGGGCAGTTGCAACAAGTGAAGTCTTGTCTCTTCTTACTCTTGATATGCCTGTACCTGTGAACTGGCACATCACTATATATTTATCAGACTAATGAGAACTTTCCCCTAGTGTTTTGCTTTGGTTTTGATTTTGCATCAAGTATACTTGCCTGATTAGCATAGGGTGCTGTTGCTGCTACACCTGACTGCCTCATTGTCTTAGTGATATCAAGCTACATAGTGGCTTTGCAGTACACACTTTGCGAGCAGCAGATACTACATGTATGCTTCTCTCAGTGCAGGGATTGTAAGAAATGACACAGGAGCAGAATTTTTGCGTGAGGGGCTTGTGTCCCTCCAAAATATTGGAGTGTGCTAGCTACTTATGGTTTTGGGGAAAGGGAGTCATTGCTACTGTCTGAAATGGATTTATATTCTAGTAACAAACGATGCTGTGTACAGGATACCATAATAGCTTGGGTTCATCCACTCTTCCAGCTTCTTATGGCTAAGCTTGTCACCCAGATGCTAACATTGCAGCACTTGCATGTTGAGTTATGCATTAGAAACTACAGGCTTGTCTGAAATGGCAAACTGAGGGGAGGGGAAAACCCTTTTTACATGTTCTTTGAGATACCCTGAAACAGAAGCCAGAGTTGTGAGGGATTTCACACTAATAATTCATGCTTCCTCTTCTGTTTAAGCTGGTGAAGATGAAGAGATGCCAGGCACTTCTCAGGAACAGCACTTCGCTTCGCTGCAGAGGGCTGGTGCAGGAGTCAGTCATCTCTCCGGGCCCTCCTTCCTCCGCACTTCTTCCTCATCAGAGCACTCGGAAGCTAGCAGCCAAAGGCAGGAACTGCACTGTCCATCCCCACGCACCACCTCGTCCTGCAGACCCCTGCACCCCCGCACAAGGAACCCACCCCTCTCCAGCTTCAATCGCCAGCTTCTCCATTCCCATGCTCAGCAAACAGACATGTTCGGGCAGTTCTGCCGGGAGCTGGTGGCCATTCATAGGGACATGGCAGACAGCATGCATGCCATCAGTCAGAGGATGGCTGACCTCACCAGCCAGGTTGGCCAGATGTGCCAAACACTAACAGAAATACGGAATGGGGTCCAGGCTCTCCATAGGACACAAGATCCTAGTGTCATGCAAGGGTCTTGTCAACAAGACACTTGCCCTAAACAGCCCCCAGAACCTAGTTCAGTGTCTAACCAAAACCCTCTAAAACAGATGACTCCTGCACGGACTACCAGATCACAAAAGAGAAAACATTTTTAGTCTGTGTCATATAAAGTAAAGAAGGGTGCTCCTTCCTGAGCTGCTGCATGCTCACATGGCTTCTCTATGTGTATCAGTACTCTGTGGGGAAGGTAAACAGCTGACCCAACCCATCCACCCCCCTGCCAGCTGTATGAATTATGGCAGCTAAATAATAGGACTTTCCCTCTGCAATGGCAAAGAGGAATCTTGGAATGTAGGACGTCTTTCTATTCATAGAGACTAGGAGTTTTCACTGACTTCCCATGCTTTAAATGCTCTATAAACTGAGATGCAATAGGAATCATTATCTGAATCTCTTCCCATACCTGTGAAATGTTATTTATAGCGACAACATGCTACAGAGCTCCCTTTGCAATTGACTAACAAATTTACCCTACTACTGCCTTCCCATCATTTTCCTGAAAATTAGTATAGGCGATACGTGCAGAAATACAGCCTTATGACTCTAAAGACTCTTACTGCTCGTTCTTTTATTGTGCATTCAGCAATAGTGAGCAATCCAGGGTTTACTGTGACTTATACACAGTTTTGGGGAGAGGGGTTTAAAAGCTTTTGCAGAGAAGTGAAGAAATCATGATGTTGAGGACAGGTCTGAGCACGGTGGTTTTAGACTTCTGAGAAGGGCTGTGATGGCATGGGCCTGGATCCTGCAGTAGCACATGCACTTATATTAAAGAATTTAAATTTTGTTTGCTCAGGTCTGAAACCCCTACCTACCCTTCACAGTTGCAGTTAAAATACAATTATTTCTTAATATGACAACATTTATAGAGAATTGTATCATATTATTTTCTTGCATGTTGTAATCTTCAGTTTTGAATCACCTTACCCTCTTCAGAACGTGAAAGACTGCACAGAAACAACAAAAGATATAGGGCCTACTTCTGACCTTAAGAACAGTTTGGTTTTGTTTCATTGTAATTCTGTCAGCTTCAGTACAGTTACTCTGCACTTAGTGTTATTTAGCATGGGATCTGTTCTGTGTTCTCCTGTTGTGAAGAGTTTACAGTCTAAATTCACAGCTACATAGATTAAAATCTTAGACGTGTTGGTTTTGTACTGCTTTCTTTCCCCATAGAGATGCAAGAAAGGACTGTGTTACAACATTTGAATTGTTTAGTGCTGTGTGAGGTTCCCATGTACAACCCTGATTCTGGAACTAGGCTTTAATAGTGTCACCTCAGGTGGTGATAATGTATGTGGTAGCTCTTTTATAACATGTCTGTTTTCTCCTTGATTTGCACATCTGCATCTACCATGCTGCCCCCATTTCTGGAAAAATCTGGATCATTATCATGATCAGCAGGGAAAAGGGCCAAGGTGTTAACCACACACAGCACACCACTGCTCTCCAGGCTGTCCTGTTGTTTTTGGAGGCAGGTTGCAGAAAGCTGTTCCAGTTAATATGGATGAGCATCATCATGCCATGTCTGGGCTACAAACTTGGCTAAAAATTTACAGAAACTTCAGCGGGAATTGAACATAGGCAGCATGGTAAGGCAGAAGAATGGCTTGTTTTGTGTGATCTTCAGGGATCTTCTCTAGTCTTTCTGACCTGTCCTTTGAAAGTATAGTGCACTAGCTTCTCTTCTGGAAAGATCATTGTATATCTGTTGTGTCAGGCATACTTGACCTGCTTTTCCTTTTTTTTTTTTTTCCTAGATGTTCTGTAATTTTAATTCAAGTAATTTATTTGTAGTGGTGCAGTAAAAGGCCCTTGCTCAAGGAAGCAGTGGTCTGGCTAGGAGAAAAGCCCCCTTTCTGGGGAATCGCTTGACTGGTTTCATGCAGAGGACATTCCTTGTAGTGCTGGTGCCAGACCTGGGCAGAACTTGCTCACCTTCCTCTGAGGATGTCCTTTTACTTCTGTTGTAACATTTGTATTCTACAAAAGTCACAGTCTCTCTTCAGATGAAAGAGATATTGGGAAATCTGGCAGAAGTGGATCTAATTTATGAATCAGAGGGCTTCTGGGTCAATATAATGCTGCTACTATATATTAAAAGTGGTATTTTATATTTTTATAATATTTGGTCTCTGCTGATGTTCTCCCATGGGTATACTGATAAGATTAGATCCTCTGATGTTGTCCAGGGGGATCTCTTCTGGGAACCCTCGACTCTGCAAGGAAGGAGACTCCTGCAGGTGCTGGGCACTGGAGGGAGTTAGCATCATTGCTGCCATCCAACTGCCCGCACAGATTGTGTTAAGAGAGAGAATCCTGGTGAAGGATGCACAGCTCTCAATACAAACCCCCAAAGGCTGGGTACTGGTCAGGAAAAAGGACTTTTTACTGTAGACTGCATGATATCTCCCCCAATTTCCTCTGTGGACTATTACAGATCGGTCCAGATCAGGGGACATATCTCCTGCCCTGTGTAGACCCCTCGGTGGAGTGGCTTTTCTGTACTGGCTCGCAAAGGATACTTCCTCCTGCACCCATCATGTTAACTGGCTGTTGAAGTAAGTGCCTGTGTCAAAGCAAACTGCTGTGCTCAACCCCAGTATCTCCATGTCTTGTACATGCTGAAAAAATTCTCTTTTAAAAAGTATTTTTGTTAAGAATGCAATAAATATATAACACTTTTAACACGGTTGCTGTTGAGTCATTTGTTTCTCTCATACAATTTTTGCCTGAGCTGGTAACAAGCCTGTCACGGATGTGGGTCTCCTGGAGACACTCAGCATCAGAGTGCTGAGGCAGGGTCTGTGGGTATGGCATCCCGGGGCACCAGCTTGGGCTGGTGGCAGCTCTCTTGCATGGGATCTCCTGCCCTGACTCTGTGCCCGATGTTGATTTTGGAAAGGCCAGTGGCCTGTTCCCTGCGGTGCTCTACTCTGCCTGTCAGGGTGACATCAGAGCACCCCCGGGGCCAGATGGAAGGTAAGCAATGGAGTGAGTAGGAGGGAGGCATGAGGCAAGGCCAGGGGGATAGCAGAGGGGAGAAAGATAAAAGCCTAAGCCTTCCTCCAGCTGAAAATGTCCCCTTCTTCTTTGCTGTCTCTTCTGGAGGGTCTGTCCTCCTCCTGGGAGGAATGGTCCCAGCTGCCAAAAAATACCTTGACATTTTTCTGGGCATGCTCACTTGACCATCCCAAAATGTGGCAATTTGGTGTCCTGAGTGGGCTGTGGCTTAGAAAAAAGGGCAAAATTATGTTTATTTGCTGCTAGCTAGAAAGTCTATGAGAAAGGTGGTCCTGCAAAGCAAGGAACTGTGCCTCCAACAGTGATGGGGTTGACTGAAGCCCCAGTAGCTACAGCTGGGTTATAACTGGTCTCCATTGGTACAATGGCTGGTCCTGAGTAGCCTGGGCAGGATCTGAGCCTGACCTGTCCCAGGGACTGGGCAGGACATGAAATTACCTATTTGTGGTTGGTAGCAATGTACCTTTGTAGGACCAGATGCAGCTGAGGGTGGCTGGATCTGTCCTGGGAGCAGTATGACCCCAGTCCTCCTCTGAGGATCATGGTCCCTTGGGAAAGCTGCTATACAAGCAGGGCTGTGCCCATCTGTGTGCATTGCTTGGGTCAGCCTAACCATGCCTATCCTGGGCATCCAAACCAAGGTAGCCTCCTTACCTCAATCCAGACTGAGTATTTGGCATTGGGAGGGGAACTGGGTACTTTCCAGCCTTCACAGGAAGGGTTGGGTTGTTCAGGATGTGAGCACTTTGGCTTCGGGACATGTGTCAGAGAAGGCAGATCCTGCAGTCTCTCCTCAGCAGGCAGTTTGTGTCCCCTATTCACCAAGCAGGCTGCCCTTTTGTGGAATGACTTTCTCCATCCTTGGAAAGCAGCTGTGGTGTGCAGCAGCACTAGGTGTCAGACCAATATGAGGTTTATGCAGTCCTTTGTAACCTATGTCTTGAGCTTCTGGGGACACTGGAGCCTGAGGCTGGGCAGCACTGGGTTGTTTGTGTGGATGATCTCATCCCATTTACCTTACCTGAGGGAAGTATCACAGGTGGAAAGCTTCCTCTCCAGGAGGGTAAACCACTTACTAGCTGGGAGCAGCTGTGGGGAAACATGTTTGTGACTGGATTATTCCACAACTCTCCGTTAAGGGCTCTTGGTGAAATTGGCAGGGCTGGTGGCTGCAGGAGGCTGGATGGGAGTGAGCTGCCAGGCAGCATGCTGCAGGGTTGCAGCAGTTCTGCAGCTCGTACCCTCCACACTGCGCTCTTCTCCCAGCTCCCCACTGCTCCAGGAAGTGGCCAGAGCTACTGGACACAGGCAGCAGAGCTGAAGGACGCTCTCAGGCAGAAACTTGGAGGCTGTAGAGGCAGAAGGAGAGCAATAAATAGGAAAAGCATGCTCATGCTTAACAAAATACTTAATAATAAAAGCAAGCCCTGGTGGGAATAGATAACCAGACTCTCCCCTTCCTGTTCAAAGTTGTATTTTAGGGAATTTTCTAAATCCCACTGTCAAATGCAGTTTTCTGTGACTGCACCGGACCATCCTGGCACTGCTCAGTGAATTCCTCAGTGCCACTGGCTGTGGGGGTGTGAGTCCTGTATGTTGTATTAAGGATCTCTGAGTGACTTCTGGTTGGCAAATCTTTGCAGGTAGCCAGGCTCCTTTGCAGGGGCACCCTGATCTTGTCACTGTACTGTTGTGGACAGTGGGATGCTAGGAAGCATCCTGACATTTCGCTTAGACTGGGGAGAGCATCCTCTAGGATCTCCTGTACTGCAGGGCATCAGACTGACCACAGCACATTGGTATATTTCAAGGGCTGTGTATCTCATGGCTGTCTGAATGCCTGATCCACCTTTTGATGAGTGATCACTAACACCCAGAAGCAACAGCCTGCCAGCTGTGTGCCATTGCAGGGCCTCCTTCCCAATTGCTGGTCCAGGTCTTTCTTCCTTTTCAAATACACAAACTGGTAGTTTAAAAGTTCTTTTGTTTTGTGACCAAAAGTAAAAGAAGGGTTAATAAAAACCAATTTTGGCAGTGCCAGAGTCTACTGTTTAAAAAATTGCTGAAAATGGCAGAGAATCCTGGGTAGCACACATTAGGAAAAATACAACTGCTTGCAGGCACATGCACAGTTGCTTAACATTAAAACCAGAATTGCTGGACTCCTGGGCAGTCTGAGACACTACAGACTTGTTTTATGTGTTTTGTGGGAAGTTTCACCAAGTTTGTGACCTTATATATGTGGGTTAGTGTGATCACGTGCAGGTGGGCTTGTGTCTTAATTAGTGCATTCACATGGCTGGAGAAGGAAAGAATATGCAAGGAAACTTTGGCAGATTTCTTAAGCCAAAGAAATACCTATCTATATAAGGGAACTTGAGCAAGGACTAGTAGCAGCAGCAGTCAGAGGAGCCATATGCCACTTGCCTTCATTAATGTTGCTGCATCAGGGAGCGCTGAATAACAGAGGCGAATGGCATAAGAAAAGAATAAGCTTTATCTATGAACCGTTCGGGTGTGCTTTGGGGTCTGTACATGCCTGTTGTTTCAGGGAGTCCTTGTATCTTCTCTTCGGGGCTCCTCTCTTGCGGCAGCCGGTGGCAAGTTCACCATAGAGCAGGATCTTAGGGAGGCGGTGGTCCTTCATCCTGGAGATGTGCCCTGCCCATCGCAGCTGCGTTCTCAGTAACATGGCCTCAATACTTGTGACTGCTGCTTGTTCTAGAACAGATGTAATAATGGCCAGTCTTCGCGAGCGAAGATTTGGGAAAGGTCATTAACCCTTCGAGCCTGCGCAGTGGATTTTTTAGGTGAGACACAGCGTGCGCTGAACTGAGCCCACCCTTTAATCCTGTGGTTCATCTGCCGGGGCCGAGCAAGCTTGGACAGTGGCAGTGAGGGTCTCAGAACGTAGGTTTGTTTAGAGTGACCTTCTCTTAGATGGATTGCCTCACAGGGCTGACGAGCTCCATCTGCCCGGGGGGCCGGGAATCGAACCCTGGTCGCAGCGGTGAGAGTTCTGCACCCTAACCACTAGACCACTAGAACAGATGTATTGGTCACATAATCTGACCAGTGGATGTTTAGGATTGTGCGGAGGCAGCGTTGATGGAAGCGTTCTAGGAGACACAGGTGGTGGTGGTAGATGACCCATGATTCAGATCCATATAAAAGAGTAGACAGCACTATGGCTCTGTAAACACTGATCTTTGTACTTTTCTTCAGGTGTTTATTTCGCCAAACTCTTTTATGAAGCTTTCCAAAAGCTCTATATGCCTTTGCTAACCTGTTGTCTGTCTCTCCGTCAATCTTACCATCCGAGGAGATGAGGCTACCTAGGTAATTAAACTGCTGGACTGATTTGAGCTTTGATTCACCAATGGTGATATGGGGATGAAGGAGGACTTCCTGAGGTGCAGGTTGATAGAGAACTTCAGTCTTCTTTAAGCTGACTTCCAGCCCAAAAAGCTCAGCAGTGTCTGCAAAGCAGGATGTTAAATGCTGCAGAGCTGCTTCTGTGTGTGCAATAAGGGCAGCGTCATCAGCATAAAGCAGCTCCCGGACAAGATGGTTTAAGGTCTTAGTGTGGGCCTTCAGTTGCCTTAGGTTGAAAGGAACATGAGTAGTGTGAGAGCAAATAATATGACCCTAGTGATAGATCTCTGTCTTAGCAGGTTGCTTGGAGTGGGAGTAAATACATTTTACTGAGCTGAAAATTAGCTGTTTTAAATCAGGAAAATAAATCCCATGCCCAGAAAGTGATCTTTCTGTCAGCGTTGCCAGGAGATCCCCACAATGTGGTGCTGGGGTTTCCACTTGCAGAGCTGTTTGTATTTTTATGTAGGACCCTGCTGACCTCTCAGCTGCAAAACTTTCCAGTACTGGAACATCCTTGGACTACTGGCACATGCCCCCATGCACATTAGGTATCCATGTTTCTGTCCTTAGAATCTCAATTCCGCTTGTCTGAGAGGAGAGAAGCAAGGAAATCTGTTATCTACTAAAAAGGAAGGCAGTGTTTTGGGGAAGTAGATAGGCAGAGGAACCCTGCCATATTCTAGATGTTCCTGAGAACAAGGAAGGAAGCCCTGGGATGTGAAGTGATGGTGGGGAGTCACAAAGTCCTTGTTTCCATCACTAGACAAAGATATTTCTGCCCAGGAGAGTCTGTGTCACCCTTACTGGCAGATACCCCTTCAGGCTGGATATGCACTATTGTCATCCCTTCCCCAGCAAGAAATTGACCCACTGGCTTAGTGCTCCCTGAGTGTCCATGCTCATTGTTCTGTATCTGTATCTCTGGAAATTTGCACACCACTGCTTATAATTCCATGCTTTCCAGTCTGGCTGTGTTGATGGCTCTCTCTGAAGGTCATTCTGGCTTCTTCATAGTTGTCATTCTGATAAAAGGTGGGGCACAGGAGAGAAGTTTGTACTTCACACCTGCCTTGTCACCTTGCCCTCAGGTACGTCATCATCTCCCGGGAGGAGAGGGAGCAGAACCTGATGGCCTTTCAGCACAGCGAGAGGATTTACTTCCGTGCCTGCCGTGACATTCACCCTGGGGAGAGGCTGCGGGTGTGGTACAGTGAGGATTACATGAAGCGGTTGCATAGTATGTCCCAGGAGACTATCAACAGAAATTTCACAAGTGGTGAGTCCCTTCCGTTTCCATCCTCTCTCCTGATCCCTTTGGGCTGCCCCACTTGTTGGGCCAAGTGTGGTGGGTGAAGTAGGTGATGCACAGGCTGTGTGATGAGAGATGCATTTCTAGAAGCAGAGCATCTCTGAGTGAGAGCCTCCAGCTCTGCCTGGCATGGATGGATGGGTGTACAAGAAGAATAAGATAACCATTGTCATGGAGATCATGAAAGAAAGATTTTTGCTGTGGTGTGTCATGTCATGTGTTGTGTTGTATCATGTCATATGTGTGCTACAAAGGCCTAATGCAACACCCAGGGATCACAGAGCACCCTTGTCACAAGACTTTCTGGCCTGAAGATTGCCAAGCTGGTGATCCTACAGACAGCTTTAGGTTTTTCCTCTGAACATGCTGCACCCTCTAGCTCCTATGAGCAGCCTGTTTGAGGGAGCTCCAGCTGGTTTCATGTGCCTATGAAACATATTTCCTTGGTGTATTTGTATGTCCATTTTCCTCGTTTAATTTATCTCCTCTTTCTTCAGAAAGATAATTTGGGATCAGCGCGACATCAGCTAGAGACTCCTTAGTCTCACAACCTTAGAGTGTATGTACAACATACAGGAGGCTTTGTAATTATCAGACTGATTCTTCCTTGGATAGAAATTGTTATCTTATCTAAAGAGCAGCAGTGTTGGAACAAACCCAGCAGTCCTTTGGGCCAGCATATTGTCAGCAATAGAGGAAGCTTTAGAGGGAAGCAGAAATTCTTAATGCATCTGTTCATCTATACAATGCTGATACCTGAAGTTAATTAGGAGCATTTCTTTCTAGGCTAGATGCAGAATGGCAGGGCCTCAGAGGGGCAGCCACACTAAATATAACTTTGTAATTAAGATTCCCATGTATATTATTACACAGCTGCTGTTGCTGCCTTGACTTGGTAAAAGGTGTCTCCTCTTCAGTCCCGGGGTGGACAAGATGTCCTGAAAAAGCTGGTTATCTCTATCACCTTAGGGTTATTATGCACTTGCAGTGTTACATCTTGGTGGCTGTACTTGGGCAATTCCCACTTCTGAATGAACATCGTTATGAATTTGCTTTTTTATATTAATGAACATCACTGAGTAGGTACAGCTTCAGTGATTTTGCTGCAATAACATGCACACATTAGTCATCCAAATGGCTTAGTACTTTCTGAAAGTACAGCAAGACAGTCTGTGTCCTTGGACCAGCTGCTGTAGAGGGGCACCAAGGCAATGAGCTATTGCCCTGCCATACAGACATGCCTTTAGTCATGGTTTGTCATGGTGTGGTGATTTGTGTGAGCTGAAATGGTAACTCACAGCCTGCTCTGTGCTACAAGTGCAGTGAGGATCTGCCTCTGGACTCGTCAGGACCTGCCATAGCCTAACACGTGCTCAGGTAGAAATCCATGTGGCTGTGGAGACCATTCCAGAAATGTCTTGTTGACCTCATCCTGCTACAAGCTGAGCTCAACCTGTGTTCACAAGAGGGGCACAGAGATGTTAAAATGGGGCATCACTTGGGCCATTTCTAGACTTGCAAGACATCAAAGCCTCAGCTGGGAGGGCACTGGGAGGTGGTCAGGAAGCAGCACAAAAATTTGTTGAGTTACTTTCTGTTTAAAAGATTTCAAATCCCCTGCAGATGAGCCTGTCAAATGAAGTGGCACACTTTATTAACTCACAGAAAAATGACATCGTTCTTGGGTTTTGTTTCTGTAGATAGTTTCTGACCCGCCTCATCATTAGAGCTGAGACCAGTATTATGAGGGATTGTCTTGTGATTTTTAGCTTTTCCATAGGGCTGAAGCACTCGGCTGGTTGGGGAAAAAATCACCAAGAAAGAAGAATTCGTTTTCTAAATCCCTACCTCTGACAATAGTTATTATAGTCTGTAACAGGGAAAATACTTAAGACAGAGACTCAAAGCTTTGTCCATAGAAATTCTCATCAATGTGTTGAAAATGAGATCTGTTGTTATGGATTCACTAAAAGAGTGGCTGGGATTCCCAGCCAGCATCCAAACTCAGTGCAAAATCCCATCCATTCAGGCCAGCCCTTTTTACAGTGCCTTACTCTAACTGTTTCAAGTCTTGCATCTTTTCTGCATTCTTAGCATTGCTCTCCTTAGAGAGGGAATGGTAGCTTTTGCTCCATAACTCTTATGAAAGCATGAATACACTTTAAAAGCAAACAAAACCAAAAATCAGCATAAAGCAGCGTCTTGTTTGGGAAGCCTTCAATGCTTGAAGTTATTTACAAGATAGAAGAATGATGGAAATTGAGCCAAACCTATCGTCTTTTGAATTTTCAGGTAAGGAAATCTGGCTATTCCCTTTATTTTAAGCAATTAATAATTTGTATGAGGTTGCTTTTATTTTTTTTTTCCTATTACTGAATGGCCATACTCTCAGACTCCACCGGGACAAGCTACATGTCCCATCCTTGGCGGGCATTCGCCCGTTGTAGCTCTGTTGACAATGAGTACCTTAGGTTTTAAGAGTGCAAGTTATTTTTACTCCTTTACATTTGCATTTCTGGAGCAGCCTCCAAAGTGAATGAGAGTAAAGGGGCTTGCAAACTTTGTGCCATGGCGTGCACAGACGCTGGGGTTGTCATGAAATGGTGTAAATCTCTCACTGCACTGCTGTACACTTGATACCTTTTACCAAGTCAAAACAGGCACAGGACTTCCAGCCAGCCAAAATGGCGCTTAGGCTCTGGGTATTAGGTTCCACTATGATCAGTCATTCACCTCATAGTCCTCTTCCAGCACAGGTTAGTTACACCTTTAGGTTAAACAAGCTGCCTGTAGTTTCTCTTCTCTTAAAAGTGTGTGGGTTCTACTCTGCTGTGGCTACCCAGGATTGTCTCTGTTTTTGCAGACATGCCCATTAGCAGGGCTTCTCCTCTTGCAAGCCTCAGTTTCCACTGAGTTGTGTTGGTTCCCTGGCTTGTAACACAACATGCAGACCTGCAGAGATCCAATCTGCCTTTTTGTTCTTTTTTTGTTTGAGTTTTAGATTGAGGGATGTTGCTCGGTTCCCAGTGATAATCCCCACACCCCATTTTCCTTTCTAGGAGACAAAAAGTTACAGAGTGAAAAGTCAGAAAAGAACACAGAAAATCAAGAGGATGCAAGGGGGCCACTCCACTTCACCACCTTAAAGCAAGGGAAGAGCCCCTACAAGCGCAGCTGTGACGAGGGGGAATCCCACCCCCATACAAAGAAAAAAAAGATTGACCTCATCTTCAAAGACGTTCTGGAGGCTTCTTTGGAGTCTGCCAAGTTTGATGAGAACCAGTTAGCAACAAGTACACCACTTGCCATCAGAAAAGCATCTAAATACCAGGCTGAAGACATCTTTGAGCAGTGTGGCGGTGCCATGCAGCACAGCTCCCTGAGCCTCAGCAGAAACCAGAGCGAAGGGGAATGGAAGGTCCCCCACAGTTCCTCTTTCATCTCAGCCAAGGAAGTGGGCATCCTTGAAGATGAGGAAGAAGAGCCCCTGTCACTCAAAGCAGACAGCCCAACCGAGTTGTCACTGGTCTCTGCACAAGGCAACTCCCATGAAATCCCCAGCACATCCTTTTGCCCCAACTGCATCCGGTTGAAGAGGAAAATCCGGGAGCTACAGGCTGAGTTAGACATGCTGAGATCTGGGAAGTTACCTGAGCCACCCGTGTTACCGCCCCAGGTACCCGAGCTCCAAGAGTTCTCAGACCCCACAGGTAAGCCCTGCCGAGTTAGAGCATTCTCCAAACCCTGCCTAAGGAGAGTAGTGAGATGCCTGTGTGCTGTGTACCCATCTAAAGCATTTTGCTCTGAGTATTCAGGTGAACCTGTGGTTCCATGGAAGGTTCATTGTCAGGTTTTGTGACTGGGTGGGCCAGGAGCTGACGCTGTGGGTGCAGTGGAAAACACTGTCTGGGAAAGACTCTGTATGACAACTTGCTCTATTTGTTGCCATTGTAATTGATAATACACTGTCAATAAAAAAGACATTCCATTGCAGACAGTTTGTTTGCTGTATTTTTGATGCATTCTCTTTCAGCGGAAGCCCCTCCACAATACCTCACATGCTACCAAGAAAATCTGAATGACTCTGTGGTAACACTGAAATGTGCTCTCTTTGTGTATGAAATGATGTCCTGCTGTGTCCCTTGTTGGAAAGCCCTCTCTGTTTCCTCCACTGCCTTAACACAACCATGTGTCCCTTTCTGAAGATACATTTCCTTTCCTCCAGGAACATGCTGTCAAGCAGCCAGGAGTCTTCAGTAAAGGGAACATTTGGGTCAAACAGTGTATTGTTCAAGTGGCCAGGATGTAGTGTCCTTTCTTGCTGTTCATTGTGGCATGTTGGAGACAAAGTTCATATGCAGAAATATTGACTTCTTTTCCTTTCTAAGCCATGATTCAAATTATATCCATAATGTGTTGTGGGCAGGAGAGGGGAGGTTGTGTCCAGCTCACTGGGCAATGCTCTACTGTCACCAGTAGGATGCTTCTCTAGCTCAGCAACTTTGTAAATACCATATTTTTTTCCTTTTTTTTATTTTTTTTTGTTACAGCTTCAGAAAGCATCATCTCAGTTCCCACCATCATGGAGGACGATGACCAAGAGGTGGATTCTGCTGATGAATCGGTTTCCAATGACATGATTGCTGCTACAGATGAGCCTTCCAAGATGTCTTCTGCGACAGGCCGGAGGATACGGCGGTTCAAACAAGAGTGGCTTAAAAAGTTTTGGTTTCTGCGGTACTCCCCAACATTGAATGAAATGTGGTGCCATGTCTGTAGACAGTACACAGTGCAATCCTCTCGGACTTCAGCCTTCATCATTGGCTCAAAGCAGTTCAAGATACACACGATAAAGCTTCACAGCCAGAGCAACCTCCACAAGAAGTGCCTGCAGCTTTACAAGCTCAGGATGCACCCAGAGAAGACAGAAGAGATGTGCCGAAATATGACCCTGCTCTTCAATACAGCCTACCACTTGGCCCTAGAGGGCAGGCCCTACTATGACTTTCGGCCTCTGGCGGAACTACTGAGAAAGTGTGAACTCAAGGTGGTGGATCAGTACATGAATGAAGGAGACTGCCAAATCTTAATTCACCATATCGCCCGGGCTCTTCGAGAGGACCTGGTTGAACGCATCCGGCAGTCTCCCTTCCTCAGTATCATTCTGGATGGACAGAGTGATGATTTGCTTGCAGACACGGTTGCGGTCTATGTGCAGTACACGAGCAGCGATGGGCCTCCGGCAACTGAATTCCTGTCCCTTCAGGAGCTGGGCTTTTCTACAACAGACAGTTACCTCCAAGCATTAGACCGGGCTTTTTCCAGCCTGGGAATACGATTGCAGGATGAGAAGCCAACTGTTGGCTTGGGAGTTGATGGTGCTAACATTACTGCCAGTCTCAGAGCCAACTTGTTCATGACAATCAGAAAGACCTTGCCCTGGCTTCTCTGCCTGCCCTTTATGGTGCATAGACCCCACTTGGAAATTCTGGATGCCATCAGTGGGAAGGAACTACCGTGTTTGGAGGAGCTGGAAAATAATTTGAAGCAGCTGCTCAGTTTCTACCGTTATTCTCCCCGACTCATGTGCGAGTTGAGAGTCACTGCTGCCACTCTGTGTGAGGAAACTGAGTTCTTGGGGGACATTCGAGCAGTGAAGTGGATCATCGGGGAGCAGAATGTGCTTAATGCTCTAATCAAGGATTACCTTGAGGTTGTGGCCCATCTCAAAGATGTCAGTGGCCAGACCCAAAGGGCAGATGCTTCTGCCATTGCCTTGGCCCTCCTGCAGTTCCTGATGGACTACCAGTCAATTAAACTCATCTACTTCCTGCTGGATGTGATTGCTGTGCTTTCACGCCTTGCCTACGTCTTCCAAGGGGAGTACCTTCTTGTGTCGCAGGTGGATGATAAAATAGAGGAGGCCATCCAGGAGATCAGCCGGCTAGCAGACTCACCTGGGGAGTACTTGCAGGAGTTTGAGGAAAACTTCCGTGAAAGCTTTAATGGCATTGCTGTGAAAAACCTACGGGTGGCTGAAGCCAAATTCCAGTCGATCAGAGAAAAGATCTGCCAAAAGACCCAGGTGATCCTGGCCCAAAGGTTTGATTCCCGCAGCCGGACATTTGTGAAGGCCTGTCAGGTATTTGACCTTGCAGCTTGGCCCAGAAGCACTGATGAGCTCATGAGCTATGGGAAGGAGGATATGGTACAAATATTTGAACACCTGGAGACAGTCCCATCATTTTCCAGAGAGGTTTGCAGAGAGGGGATGGACACCCGAGGGAGTCTGCTGATGGAGTGGCGAGAACTCAAGGTGGATTATTATACCAAAAACGGTTTTAAAGACTTGCTTAGTCACATTTGTAAATACAAACAGAGATTTCCCCTCCTAAATAAAATAGTTCAGATCCTCAAAGTCCTTCCCACCTCTTCGGCCTGCTGTGAGAAGGGGCGCACTGCCCTGCAGAGAGTGCGCAAGAACAACCGCTCTCGGCTCACGCTGGAGCAGCTCAGTGATCTGTTGACAATTGCTGTTAACGGGCCACCCATTGCTAACTTTGATTGCAAAAGGGCACTAGATAGTTGGTTTGAGGAGAAGTCCGGTAATAGTTATGCGCTGTCAGCAGAAATGCTGAGCAGGATGTCATCTCTTGATCAGAAGCCGATGTTGCAGAGCATGGACCATGGCTCTGAGTTTTACCCTGATATTTAGGAAGGAATGCCTCAGATCAGAAAGCAGTTGAATAATTTTTTAATCTATACTCTAAACTTTGATATATTATATAAAATATATATATTATCTATATTAAGGAAAAACCCACACTGAAAATTTAAAAGTTAGACGATGTGCGTCTGATAGAAGCTAAGCAGAATTTTAAAGATTGAGACAATGTTTAGACATTTACTAGTGTCTCCAACCATGGCAGCTGCAATGTAGGTGGCAACATTTCATTCTTCAGAAGCATGTGCTGGGGCCATACTCTACATGTTCAAACTTAACAATCTATAAGCTACACAACGGGTCTTTGTCAGCCTCATCCTCCCGGTAGTTTCCTTTGTATGTGTGTTGTCGGTTTGTTGGGTTTTGGGTTTTGTTTTGTTTTGGGGTTGTTTGTTTATTTGTTTTCCCCTCAGTTTCAATCTCTGCCTCTCCTTCCATTGTTCAGTCCAGTTATTGAGCCATTTGAGCCTTTTGTTGGCAACCATCACATTTCTGATTTCCGACAGAGCATCCCGTGTGTTTATGTTGCCCTAAGCTTCCCAGCTCCACCCAGTTCTCTTCAGTTGAATGGAAGCTTTTTTCACTCAAGAGATTACTGGCAGGAGGGAAGAGCTGAGGGCATGATTTTGGGTTTTTATTCTGACTTAGAAACAAATGCCTCCATTAAACTGTGATACCCCTTTCTCAGTTCTCCCCACCTTTGGGCTGTAGAGTAATACTTGGCTTTCAGCTCTGTTTATGATAACCATAATACCAGTCTATTATACATATATTATAACATGATGTCATGTGCAGACTATAAAATAGCAAAATAGAGAAGGCAGGGGGAAATTTTTGCATTTATATTTTTATATTGTATGAGATAAATATATATATATATATATACAACTATTCATTCAAAACCAGGGCTGCTGTGGAAGCTAGACAGCCAATGAGTCGAGAGCCATCTCTGGGCGGAGATTCAAAGGCTTAAAAAATTATATTCTAATTTACATTATTTATACTATGTCTTTATAATCCTAGATTGTTGTGGGTTTTTTGTTTTGTTTTGTTTTGTTTTGTTTGGAATGACTGAAAGAAAAACCTGCTGCGGTTTGGTGGCAGGAGCTATCAATGCAAGATTATCTTGGATTATATTCATGTGATGATGTCCTACAAAGGTTCACGTATTCTCTTGTGACCAAGGTAACATGTTCCACAGCACAGCAGACTGATGACAGCAGGAAGAAGGGATACTCCGCTTCTTCCTGCGAAATCTTTCTTCCTTTCTTGAAGGAATGTGGAGTCCAGCTGAAATGTGAATGGGGGACTTGCACCTTCCATCACAAAGAGATTGTTCTGTGGGCTTGGGGCTCTTTTTTGTTTTATTCTTTTAAAGTAAACAAGCTCCAGGCATCCACACAATATCACTTCAGGTCAGAAAAGAAAAAAAAAAGGAATAAAAAAAGCAACAACCAACCAAGAAAAAAAAAAAAGAAAAAACACAAACCACACAAACAAAAAAGGTGCAAAAACTCCACAGATGCTAGTGCCTTGCCCTGCTGATGTGGCATGGACAGCACCAACCTGACCAGACCATCATGGGAGTGGGACCTGTTGTCCAAAAGGTGTCCAAGCCAACATGTTCTCACTTCCCAGAGGGATGAGCTTTGTGCCAAGCTGTGTTGTTTGGAAACATGATGGTGGTATCAGCAACACTGAACCTTTCCTTTCTCCTGTTACCCCCCCTGCCCTTGGTCTTGGTGCTAAGATATCTCTAGAACCGTTGCTGCTAGATGATAGCTTTTCATTTATATAAAAATATATATATATATAATATTATTTTATTTTTTAAACGTTTTTGTTTGTTTTCAATGGAGATGTAGCATGTTTGGAACCGATCTCTCTCAGAGTCACTTTCACTGCCAGGGTTCACGCACTGTCTTCCCCAGGAAAACACACACTTCTACCTAGGTCTCACTCACCTCCTGCTAACCCCTTTGCCTTCAGTAGAACTTCACAGCCAGCACTGGGCAGAGGCATGCAGCCAAGCCACTACGGACTGGTTCAGCTTTCACATCCCACAGGAAGAGCTAGACTGGTGTTGATCAGGGTTTTGGAAGTGTTTGCCGCTGTCCCTATAGGACTGAGGAGGGACTGAGCCCACCCAGAGCACTAGTGGTGGCTCATCCTTGTGCTCAGACTCTGCCCCCTTTTCTGTAAAACGAGGCCTTTTGGTCAGACAGTCCCAGTGGAGTAGAGTAGACCCTGTGAATATAGCAGCGAGGGCTGGTCAGGCAGCGTACCCTCTGTAGCACTTATTCCCTCTGCCTTACCTCTGACAGCATGTGCAGCCTGAGGGTAGCTCGGGCAGGAGGGGGCACCTGTGCCAGCGCCATCCACCTTTTGCCAAAGTGCTGTCAAGGTTGTAGGCACTGAGTGCTTTTCCCCGTGGTCCTCATGGAAATGTCACAAGCTAGGTCAGGGCATCACACTGTCACAGCACAGGGACATCGATATGTAACACCTACCAAGCAAAAAAATGGCTTTGTTTGCGTTTTTTTCTGTTTTTCCCTATAAATGATGTGATAAAATTGACTCATTCATCCAGAGGAGTAAATATTAAACTGGAAACCCTCTGCCAGCTGTGCAGACTTGGACGGTTGTTTACCTGACCATAAAGTAGGGATCTTTCTACACAAGTTACTTGTAGCTCTCCGGGCCTGGTAAATAGGCTCTGCTCAGGGTGCTGCCACTAAGCTCATGGAGCTGCTGCCTGTTGAGGAGACGGCAGGCTTCCTCCCTTTTTAAAATGTAAGGAGATGCAAAAAGGTAAAAAAAAAAAGATTGCTGCTCCATTAGTTTCCAACCTGGAGATGGGCAAGGTGAGCATAGATCATAGAGTCCATAGGAACTCCATTAGCTCCTTGTGGATGGAGTCGAAAAATCACCTGCCTTTCTGTTACCAGCAGCAAAAGTTCCTTGGCACAGAACCCCATCAAAGTGCGTGGCCCACATGGAAGGAAGGGATAGTTGAGGACAGACTCCAGACACCTTTGGAGACAGGAGTGCTCCCCCAGGGCTTGTGCTGAACCGCCTGAGGGGCCTGTTTACAACTCCTGATCTGAGCCTCCTAACTTTTGCCACTGGGGAGGAAATGGTGCCTTGCCTTCTCAGCAAGAGCTGCCAGAGGCCCTATTCTGAAATGATTCCTCCAATTTGTCACTCCTTTCCTTTGCTTCATTTGCAAATCCTGCTCTCATCAGTGATACCTTTCATCAGCAGCTGTTATTCCTAATGGCAGAGTGAAATGTACAGCAGGTGGGATTTTTTCTCCAGGCAGTCAGCTGACACAGGGAAAGTGCTTGTTTCTTTAGCAAATAACTTTGCTTACACCTGCAAGCAATGTCAGTAGGAAGCATGATTCCCTGCCACTGGATGTTGCAGATATTCATGATGGGAAAGGTCAGAGACCCCTTGCATTGGTGAAGGGGAGAGACAAGAGGTTGGCAGAGCAGCTGGCCCAGCCCACGCCAGCTCCTTCAACACAATTCCCTGTTACACCCCCATCAGAAAATAATCCTGGCCTTTATCCTAGGCTAATGCAGGTGCTTTGCAAGCTTTCTCTCCAGGGTTACTCGCCTATCTCAGATCTCTAGCTCTTACTTTGATGGATAGTCTGTGGATGGAAATGTGCCAGCATAAGCAAGATAGGGAGGAGGGAGGAATACTGATGCAAAATGCCCCTGGCTTACCAGTACCCCCCAGACTTTCCTGGGAGCAGGTGCATTTCTGTGCCCTGTTTGCCTAGGCCTGTCCTGGTGTCAGTGAGGCCAGGAGGCAGCAGCAGGCATAGGGAGCACACAGTGGAGCACAGGAGGAGGCCTCCTTGCCTTGGCTTGGAGATCACCATGCATCAGGTTTAATCGATACTGTGCTGAGCGAGTGAGAGGAAATTGTTCTGAATGTGTTGCTCACAGCATCTTGAACTTGTTTCGCTGCAAAGACAGAAGGGTTCAGTTTTTCTCAAATGAGCTCTTTATTCTCTTCTTCCCTCTGCATCTTAGCTATGGCATCTGACTGTGAATAATGCACACTTCTCCAGACCCTTGGGTTTGTATTTCTAGCCCATGGGATTTTTGGTTGCCAATTTCCCTTCCCCACGTTTTGCTCAGGCTCCTTGCCTCTTTTACCCTGCTGTGAAGCAGAAATCCGTGAAGCACATTCAGACATGTCCTTTTGCAGGGCTTGCCAGTGTCTGCAGGGGTCCGGGCCCTCCAGCCATGAGACTGACCTCAGCAGGGATAATCTTCACAAGAGACCAAAGCTCTTCCCATACCAGCAAAAGCACACAGGAGTTATGGTGGGTTGTGAGGGGACGCAGTGGGCATGGTCCTGGTATGTCATCTGTCTTGGATCTTGAGCTGACTGCGGCAGTGTCCCCCGTGCTGGTCACACTTTTGCTGATATGACTATTCAGACATGATTCAGGCTTGGTCCATCTCTTTCTCACAGCACAAACTCAACCAGGTGGCCCGTGGGTCTTTGGAGTCACCCTCCTTTCTTATCTCATGAGGATTGCTGTTTGTTTGTTTGACCAGTGTGTAAGACAGCCTAGACAGCCAGCTTGCGGATAAGCAGAAACAGCCTCTGCCTTTGCAGATTCCCCTCTCAGCCCTGTCAAAAGAGGTCTTAAAAGCAGAGAAATGGTACGTTGATCCCCCAGCCATTGTATACAATGCAGTAATGCCTATGCAATTCCTGTCTCCCTTGGAGACATGTATGATGTGTGTGCATGTAAGCTAGTGTATGTATACAGTACATATGCATATGGTCTATATATTGTATATACGCACATCCCAGTACATATACACACAGTAAAAAAGATTAAAATCACATGCTTATATATCTATAAATAAAATCCTATATATTTATATATTTCTATGTTTTCGATAGATATAAAGATATAATATAGAGATAGACTCAACCATCCTTGTGTAAGGCTGGCCCTGTGTTCTAGCACAAGGCATGTAACACTGAAGACTTTGGACTTTGAAATGGTTTTAGCCATACACTGAGGCCTACATTTACATGTACAGCACTCTATGGAGAGGGGCTTTGCTGTGTTTGGGGCAAGGAGTTTCCTTGCTGGCATGTTACCCAAGTGATAAATAAGTTTTGTTTAATAGAAGAATGTCTTGGTAGGGAAAAATGCTTGAGTGTCCTTGTCTTCTCCCAAGTAAGCCTCTTGCTGAGGTCCTGTGTGTTCACACTTGGACAGATACATATCCCACCCTCATATACACTTCTGTCTCTCTGCATGGATGCATTTAACAACAGTGGGTGCTCATGCTGTGGAAATGTGGCTTTCTGCTCTTCCGCCTGGTGTTCCTCAGTAGTTGCCGGCACACTGCTAGGGACACCCTGCACTGGCCAGTGCTCACACAGCACGCAGTGAGAGCGTGGGTTAACCTGGGGGCGCAATCAGTGATACAACCATGATGCCAGGATAAAGGCAGCAGGAGAGCAAAGGTGTTACTGAGCGGAGGGAAAGTTACTGCCACACAGTCGGACATGGCAGGGATGGTATATGGAGCTGGAACAATATGAATGAGAAGGAGCCATGAATTTGGAGCAATATGGATGGGAGTGTGTGATCCCCACTGGGGAGGCACATTCAACTCTGTTGGGTCAGACTGACTGCTCCCTCAGGTCTCACAGCTACTCCTCAGCTGGTGAGCAGCCTGCCTGGCTGGGGTCCCAGGGAGGTTTTCTGGAGGAAAGGGATTGATGTGATTGTGTGGAAGACATAGTTGGTGATGCATGTGTGCCTTTGGGCCCCAACACACAGCATATGGACCTTGCCAGGCTGAAGCACCGAAGGGTGCAGCCCTCTTGCCCTTCCCATGCAAAGAGTCACCTATTTTCCCATGACCAGCATTTCCATGCTGGGATGGGGGTGGATCCAAACAGTGGATCAACCTGGGGTCTCCCGATGCCTGTGGGATGGATAGCTGCCTCATCCCTCCATCCCTCCCTTCACACAGCTGCTCGTAGGCCACTGACCCTTCTGCATCCTGAAGCCTTTGGCTGACTCCGGAAAGGACCCACGAGGTGCCTCTGGCCAGTCTGGCAGCTGGTGGTTACTCAGTGAGCTGCTTCCCCACAAGGGTTGAAGGAGGAGGTTTGCCTTTGCAGCTCCATGCCAGGCCTGGCAACCACTGCACTCCTTGCCGTTTGTTTTATTTGTTGACTTCAGTCTGGAGGAGGGTGAGTTGTAATTCTGACGTCCGAATGACTTGTTACACTGGTATTGCCTGAGCAGACACTGTGCAAGCTCCCCCCAAGCCCTGTCACACACCTCAGTGCCCTCTCCCAGGCCTCTCTCCTCCACACAACTGGTAATCCACCTCAGCCGCCCCTGCCTGGCGGCAGCTCCCCACTCTGCCACAGCCCCTCAGCTGTGCAGCACCACGGGGATCTCCTCGGCACCTGTTCCTCACAAACCTCAGAGACAGTTTTCTCACTCCCAGCCCCCTCCTCAGATGCCACTGACACTCATGTAAGCTCAGCCTGCGGCCTCGCCTCCCCACCGCCTGTGCCGGTGGTGCTGCCGCCCGGCGAGGGGCTCCCATGCACTGCACCTCATGTCAAATAAGCTCGCTGGGCTATGTGGGGGAACCATGTCTCATATGCTGTAATGTCCCAAATGCTACAGGAGGGCTACAGAGTTTTCTGCCAGTCATGGCATCCTCATAGACTCACCCGACAGTTAGCAAAAATGCATTTCTACTTCCAGAAAAAGAGGCTTTATCTCAAACCTCTCTGTATCCACATCCAAGCACAGCCCTGCTGAACTGTTTCAAGCGATCTCTCACCCACCCACTCACCTACCACACACACATATGAAATGAGAGAAAAATATCTAGACGTCTATTACTACATATGTATTAATATGTTAATATCACTCTTTTCAAGAACATTAAAATGTTATTACTTTACAGACTATGCTTTATAGTACCTGTGTGAAAGGACCTAGGACACTGGATACGAATAGAGCTATGTTGATATATCATAGTATGTACACGAGAACTTTCCTTTTGTCATATTATCCTTGTAATGTAAAATGATTGTTAATAAAAAAAAATTAAATTTATCAAGTTGGCTTGCTAATTATTTAAATTGTTCTTGAAAGTTAATGTCATTTTCCCAAACCAAGGTTGTCTAAGCTGATGCGCTCTCACTTCCCCAGCCTAGGATTGTAAGGAGCAGATCCAGTCCTAATTAATTGAGAAGGGTTAATTGCAGCCCTTTGAGGTGCTGGTAGTTCTCCCTCCTGAGTGACTGGCTCCCTCACATGCTGAGTGTCACTGCAGCCCCTCAACATCCTCACCTCAGTGATCAGGTCCAAAATATCCTGTGATGGAGCTGCATCATTTCACCATGGGCTGGGTTATGCTGGTGCTGTGCCACGGCTGCAGCCTGCAGAACAGGAGCTGACACCTTCCAGCAGCCCAAGGCTGCCCTGGGTCAGCACCAGTGCAGCTATGTCAGAACATGCTATTTTTGGGTAGGGGTGCAGAGTGAGTGCCCTTGAGGCTCTGTGCTCCCTTTCTAGTCAGGTACAGTGGCATTATTGTTGGCTTTGCTGTGGTGGGCTGTGCTTGTAATGCATGTTGACAAAACTTTGCATGTGTGCCTGGTTTGGTCTGAAGGATGGAGAGACTTTTCCTGAGCTCTACATGCTCCAAATCCAGGGAAAACTGGACTTTTTTTATCTTAAAACAAAGGGCTGGCTTAACTTTGGATTGTTCTTTGACGTGAAGTTTGGCTTGAGGCTGGGTT